GTCCGTGCTTTCCATCCACATGAATGAGAAAAAAAAAAAATCTATCTTCAAGCTCAACCTTAAAAAAGGATGATGATGATGATGATGATTATTATTATTATTATTATTATCATTATTATTATTATTATTATTATTAATGCAGAAATATTATATTGAGATATACGAGGAGTTATCAGTTGTTACCTGCTTCGCTGTGAAATCTTTGAAGAAACACTTCAAGATTAAGTTTAGAATATGGCCTTGACATTTTCCCATATGAAGGAATTCGTGCAAATAAGCTCAGTTTCCATGACCTCCTTCATGATTTCTAGTAGAGATATCTTCCATTCTCGAATTGAAGCTTAAGGATTTTTTTTCAGTCCTTCTTGGATTTAAAGAAGTCTTCAGTCGATGGACTGCAATTGTGATCTTTACAAATGCATATTCCAATTTATTTTCTGATTCATACTGATTAAAACCAAAATACTATATATCTTATCTTTAGTGCACACAATAGGGAAATCCAAGATAGAACCCAATAAATAAATAAATAAATAATAATAATAATAATAATAAAATTAGGAGTCTTTTGAAAAATCAATGAAGAGTGTTTTAAAAGTAAAAAAATATTGTACAAAGTTAAGTAAAACTTTTTAATTAAAAATGAATATACAATGTCACTTTTAATCATTTTAATTGAAAGTGATATATGTGACTTTTTAATTGAAAGTGGTTCACAATGCTATTTTCTCTTTCGTGAAATCTTAATTCACATTTAACATAATACAAAATAAATTAACATCTAAAAGAAATTCTTATAAATAAATTGAAACCTAGACGAAGATGTATTGTTCTATTAGAAATTGATTGTGCGTGATATTTTAATTAAAAAATGGTACAAGATGCCATGTCACTTTAAAATAAAATAAAAAGTATAAATAGCATCACTTCACTATTAATTAGAGCTTGCCAATCCTATATAAAATATCTATTATCAAACATTTTCAACTTGTTGTGTTGGCATATCGGCTTACGGGAGTGGACATTTACAGGTTGTCATCGCCTCATCAAATACATATTTATCTCTACCTCATCACCATATAACACGTCTTTCATTTGAAACCCAATTACTATCTATATCATAATTCTCATCATCTTTGCCTCGTCTCTCGTTCTGTGATATTAAATACGGAATCAATTTAATAAAGTGACAGGATTTCAAAATGCGACAAAAACTAAAAAAGAAAAAAGAAAAGAAAAGTAACGAACAGTAAAAAAATGACAAATATTATTTAACACAAATTAAAACCTTATAATAGATCAAGGCAATAGTTCATTTTCTTTTGCACGTTGTCTCTTTGTGATTAAGTTTCACATTTATTAATTAATATATTAATTTGAATTTGGAAGCTATTCATTAAATTGATAAAAAAAAAATTAGAAAAATGATAAATATTCAAAAAAAAGTTACTACTGCTAAAAAAAACAACAAATAATATTGAACACCAGCTACAATTAAGACATTTTGACACCAACAAAGATAAGATATCGATTTGGCGATCGAAAAGCTATACATGACTATACTAACAACATAACAATACAAAACAAAATTATTTTGTGTGGCGCAAAAGAAAAATTAGAAGATAGATTTTGAACTAAATGAAGAGAATAGCATTCCGCTATACCAACCTGAATTCGACTCCGCAAGGACCACTGGGAATGTTACTGCCTCCCTCTCTTCAACAAACACCTTTTTTTTGGCAAATCCACCACCACATTGTCAAACTGATCCCACATGATGGCTCCTACTTCAATGACACCATCCGCAATGATGATTATTGCATCCGTGTCTTTCTTCATCAATTTGTGATGCTGCTGTCGAAATCAGTTACCAAATACACCCCAGTTTTATATCATGAATTGCACTCAACTTAAAATCAAAATGAAACATGGAATTGACATCAACGCAAAGAACTTCGAAAACTTAACCAAAGATATTCTGTT